GTTGGTTCTTCCTTTGCAGTGCACGTTGCCGGGCAGCTTCTTCCATATCAACCGGATTGGCATGCATCAAATCCGCCGTATCATCCTGTACGGCTTTAGCCTGTACCAACCCTTGATTGGTCGACATCTGTACTGCTGTACCAACACGGGAATCTTCTGGACCGCTATCAGTGCCCGGAATAGCACCAAGAAGGCCATAGTTTAAATTGGGGTTTCGTTGCATCTGTCCTCCTGGCGCACCCAGGAACGCGCCTGGCTGAGATTGTGGTCGCATCTGGGTTGTTCGGTACAAGGCAGGTTGCTCTACTGCTGTGGGGGGCTCTACAGTGTTTTCTGGCACAGTATCATGTTGTTCCCTCACAAGAGCAGCTTTTTGTGCATTGGATGGAACATCATCAATTGTGTTGGTGTTCGCTGCATTTTCAAATCTTTCCATTTTGGCATCTTGGATGATTTGATCTGTGGATGCTAATCGGATTGCCTCGATTTCTCGAGCTCCTTCTGCAACATCCATAATCGACTGGGGAGGATCATTTATGGGTTGGTCCCTTATCAGAGGAATTGCTGGAGGAGTAGCATTTCGTTGTGCCTCAAAGTTGTTGCCATTCATGTGATTGCCTTGTGCCTGTCTAATAGCTGCCCCACCACTCTGATGGTGAGACCTATTACTTTTTGCGAGCTTTTCCAGTTTGGCTGCTTCATTGATTTCTGAAGCAACTTGCAGAAGGTGCTGATGTTCCTTGTCCTTGGAGTCTTCTCCTAGCATGATTTCTTCTGCTTTTGGTTTGAAGTTTTCTGATCCATCATCGTCAAGTTTGTCAATCTCTGCTAATTGGATTCCTTTGGCAACCTCCATGGGCTGTGATTCGTTCTCTTCAGGAACATCTTGAAGAGTAGGATACATCCGGTCCACAAATAGATCTGCATCCTGAAGGGCTTCGGTACACATGTCGCATTATCATCACCGTGCTTCGGTTGGGGGATAATGTTCACTGGAATCTGAGGGGCTTCTGGAGCAACATCAAACTGCTGCTCATCTTCGAGTGCTCGGATCAGAGAATCCTCTTCCATAGGATTGGTGGTGGCCATTTTACTTAGAGTTGGATGTTTTTACCTGTTGTACTTTTGTGTAGTCGTTGGGAGAACATTGTTGGGTGTCGTCACTCTACCATGCAAGCACAAGCATCACTTCGTGCAGAGGCATCCGTGCGTCAGTGAGCTAACCCCTTCATTAAAACCTTATCCTTATTTGAGGAACAAATCACAAGAGCATGTGGGGCATCATCGCCCTTGAGGAACCACTTTTCCTCCATGCACCCCCTTCCCTGCCCCCCCTTGTTTTGCCCTACTCGTGTCCTCATTGCTCTCCCCGTATGCCCACCACAACAGCCACCCACCACCGCAGCCACTGCTTTGCCTAGCCTCGCCCCCCTCGCTCCTTATTAACGTATCTATTTAGTATTTATTTTCCTCTCGATCGATAGCCTCCTCGACTGCATGCCTTGCTAGCTATATCTTTCCAAGCTAGCTAGAGTTAGATTCTGATTGTTGGAGATCCTACTCAATGCCCTGGCTCTGTTCACTGCCTGCCGCCCCCTTCTGTTGGACTGCTTATTGGTTTCATCCCTGCCCGGTCGACTTTTGGTCACCGGTCACCACTGATTACTCCATTCAATATCTGTAATCCCCTCTAACACATCGTAGCCATTCCCATTCTATGGTAAAGCATCCGATGGAATAGTACAACAGAACTGAGACTCGGGCCGACCGTGTGTGGAACATCCTGTAGAGGTGCCCCAAGGATTGGTATCCTCAACATGCATGAGAGATAGCTTGACAGGCTGACAAGAAAAAGGCAACATCGCGGAATCGATCCAGCCCACACGGACAATCGACTGATCCAAGCACTTCCAACCCGATCTCGCAAAGCCAAACCATTTGGCCCCCGTACTGGTCCTCAATTTCTTGCCCCTGATCCCACAGAACCTAGTCCTGAATTTCGCCTGTTCTTTGCTTAAGCCTGGCCCCGGCTGGCTTCCGTAGATAATTTCCCTACTCTAATCCCCCTCAAAACTTCCAACCCGAACGAGTCGAGTCGATCGAGTCCAATCATGCAATCAGCCAGCTATCCAAGCAGCTATATCGAAGGCGACAGAAGTATATGAGCATGGAAAACTACATCATTGCCGTGCTGGTAAAAGAACCAAGTCCAGATAACAGACACTGAGTGAGTTACGTTACGATGGAGCCGGCTCCTCGATCCATTGGCCATCGACTTGACCGTTCTTATCCAGGGGCCGTGATATCGATCTCGTCAGTGTCCCCGTGCACTTGGACGCCAGAGGCGCACTCGCTCGTACCGGTACGCAATGCCCGGGATGCGCTGACATGTAGAAAGAGTGATACTAGTAGTGAGTGCACGTGTGGTGGAGCGCGATACACCTTGCCAAAAGCAATGCGCTTAAATCCGGGGTAGCATTCAGCGCCTTCGGGACTGGCCAAACTGTTGCTCCAAGACGGAAGGATCCAACACGATTATTGGTACCTACAGGTGTCCATCGTTGTTGGGCGCAAACTAAGAGAGTGCAGTCTCCACGTAATTCAGGGTCTCGGTAAGGTTAGTTTCGATTAAGAGCCGATTCATTCGATAGGCCGCACCAGAAGTTCCACCTGAGTCGAAAACTGGTCTGAGATCTCGATCCAGAGAGGAAGGTTGTTTGCTTCTGCTAAATTGTTGTTGTAAATCGGGAAGGATGTTTGCTGCAATGGGCGCAGTGACGAATGGCGACCGGACAAGGCACCCCTAGCCTTTTCCGCCTCGCCTCAATTGTTTATTAGGACATCCGAAATCCGGACAACAGGCATTCAGAGACTGCAAGATAGAGCTACCGGTATCTAGCTAGACTAGTAGAAAGACAAAGAAATCTTGTAGCAAGGAGGTTTGAGAAGTTCTCCATGGAGACTTAATACACGTGCGGAATGGCGCCCATTCTTTAGACTCGTGAGCCATCAAGCAACACAACAAGATTGCTCGATCATCATGCTCGTGCAAAAGCCAAGTGCCATGCACACGATTAAAAAAATACCGCCGATCGAGCTTTCGACCACGAGCAATAGCAACGAAACCATGCAACCGCGAACCTCATGCATCATGGCAAGGGGAGTCACGACTTCGTTACAATACACGCACACACACATCTCACACACTATCACGAACTCAAACCTACACACACCGAGATTCGTCCGATCGCGTATCGATTATAATTTTCACTACAAGACAGGTCCAGCCCATGAAACTTAAAAGCAGAATATAGCACTGCCACTGCCTACCAGTACAGAGTCAGTCTGCAACCCGTATGGTACAAGAAAGCCCCACCACGAGGGTCGAGTCAGGAGTGCACGAGCAGCGGAGTGGTTCGACTGACCGGTACAGCTCACGATATGGAATGACATAAATTCAGTAGCATCCACGCTGTGCAGGTTGCATTCGCGTGTTGATGTTACTTACTGTAAGTCTTTGAGTTGTTCGTCCATGACTCCACGGTCACAAACAACTTTGTGTTGGCCGCTCTCCATTCGCCTCACACAAAACCAAAACCGAGGCTTTTGGTAAAAAGAGCCACCCTGAGAGCAACATCTTCTTTTCCTTCTCCTTCTCCTCCATCCAACAATGTTTCAAGTCCAAGTAGTACATACAGTAGCATCAGTTCTGCAGTTCAGTTCTGCAGTGATGACATGAAGGAGATCTGTTCTCGACCACACTACGTAACACAACTACGAGAACAACCCGACGAGTCCAGTCCAGTCGAGTCGATGGCTAAAGCACTACGAACCACCTTAGCGCTCCTTTGATAAGTTTCAACACCGGCCGGTCGGTCCCTTGGGTTTGTTCTTAGAAATGCTAGCTTTTTCGGACACAGGCTTGGACACCAGTATAACGATTCCAGTAGGGTTTTTGTTGGGATCCGTATACCTTCGGTTCGACCAACTCGATATAACGAACTCGTTGGGGCGATACCAGACGACGCCTCTCCTGCAATCATGGTGGACTGATTGAACCTCAATTAGTACCGTACTTGTGACAAACCCAAACTTCCTACACTAACTAAGCTTCCGACCGATAGCATAATGCGTGCCATCACATAGCTACCATGGACCACGGTGGGAAATAACGGTGCTCGAGCACGACAACCTTTTAGCTATAGCTGGCGAAGCGGGAATCTTTGTTGGAAAGAACACTTGCAGGCAATGGGATGGAATGTGCAACACACTCCAAATTAGCATCACAAGCTAGCTTTCGCATGAACACCCCATCAATCCACTGCAGACAAAGCCTTTACTGTGTACGGCGGGGGGGTTGTCAAGCTAGTAGTAGCGCAGTTGATTAGGCCAATGACTCCCAATTGGACAGCAGCACAATTTTATAAAAAAATAGTAGTTAGTTGTTTATACCTATATTGGAACGTGAATCACCGAGTTGTACCGGTACTAGTAGAGTTGGTCACACCGAAAGATCCATCTGCTCCAACCAAAAGATCGATGGTGATTTCAGAGAAATCACTGTCACTGGTATATGAAAAGTCATCAATACTGACATAGGAATATAACACATTTTCCATTCCTGCCATCAGAGATATCCATCCAGGAACATAAAAGCCATCACCAGAACTGTCATATACAATCAATCTGTAGGCAGTGTCAGCATTGAGCGGGAAGAGAGAGGAGTAAAGATACTCTCTGACACCCAGTGGACCACCTGATTCCAATGTGTCCCAAATACCAGTCACGTTGGTTTCCTTCTGCCAAACCCATGATGTTTCCATTGGGTACCAATCAGTATAGATATTGAGAATGACAGCACCACCTCCGGTTGGAAACCGCCCAGGCCAATCCCGTGGATCTTCTTTCAGGTCTGCACAGGTGGCAACAGGAGGAGAATAGTTTAGGGAACAATCACACCATAGAAAGGAACAAAGATGCTCCGGCACAGTTCCCGACAACTAATTGCCATGAAGCCTCAATCCCATTGATGCATTCAGTTGGCTGGGCAGTGTTCCTGTCAGGTTATTGTTGTTAAGACCCAGGGATGTCAGTTGTGTCATCATTCCAATTTCTGTTGGGATTGTTCCAGATAATTCATTGGCGGACAGGTCAAGCTTTTGCAACGATGTCAGGAGCCAAAGATACCTGGGAACTGCGCCAGTGAACTGGTTGCCATTCAACTGCAGTGTAGTCAAGGCAGTCAATGCTCCAAACTCAGAAAGAACTGGACCAGTGAACTGATTATCAGCAAGATGCAGGTATATCAATGAGGTTAGGAGCCCAAGCTCTGAAGGAATTGTCCCCGTCAATCCATTTTCGTTGAACAACAGGACCTGCATAGCCTTCAAAATGCCAAGCTCAGAAGCAACTTGACCGGTGAGGAGATTATTATTCAACTCTAACCAAAACAAAGTGGTCGCCTTTCCAAGCTCAGAAGGAACTGGCCCGGTAAACTGATTACTCTTAAGTTCTAGCGAGTACAATGACGTCAGGAGCCCAAGCTCTGATGCCAGTGGACCACTCAACCTGTTAGCAAAAAGGCTAAGCTTTTGCAATGAGGTCAGGAGCCCAAGCTCTGAAAAAAATTTGCCCGACAACTTGTTCGCTTCAAGCCAAAGAGTGAACAGTGAGGTCAGAAGCCCAAGATCAGAAGGAAATCGACCATGCACTCAATCGACACAGTGTACCCTTGAGTCCGCTTACCATGAAGGTCAAGATTGGTCAATGAGGTCAGGAGCCCAAGCTCAGAAGAAAATTGACCAGTCAAATCATTCTCTCCAAAGCTAAGGTCCGACAATGAAGTCAATAGTGCAATCTCGGAGGGAATTTGGCCTGACAACTGACTCTGTCCAAAGTTGAGGTAGGACAATGAAGTGAATAGTGCAATTTCAGAGGGAATTTTACCAGTGCACTGATTCCTTGACATCCATAAAGATCTCAAATCAGTCAACTCATAAAGTTCGGTGGGTAACTGCAATGAAATTGGTCCAGCAATGCCATTGTTGTACAAGTTTACAAGTGACAAGGAAGTCAAGAGCAGAATCTCAGGTGGTATGGAAGCGAAATGGTCCATGAGTTCCAGGCCCCCAAGATGCAGAGATGTGAAGTGTCCTTGGCTGTTGCAGGGACGTGTAAATAGGCCACCATCGGTTTGACGTTCATAGTACGCCCCCCTAAAGAAGAACCCAAACCCGTTGGAGAACCATTCACACTCTTCCACAGTATCATCCATCCAACGCTCCTTTATGAGAGGATTCCAATTTTCTCCCTCATATGAGTAAAAGAAGGTAGCCAGAGCAAACAGTTGTGTCTTTCTCCATTCTGGAAGAAATGTGATGTTTTGGTGTTCGGAAAGCCACCACCATGCTCTCCACTGCGGAGTCTCACTGCCATTGTTGACGCTTGCCAAAGTGTAGTCCGGTAGGCTATCCAACAAAAAATCCAGAGCTCTAGTGGGGGCGGAGGATGGCACTTCCGAAGGAGTCATGGAACCATAAACTGTGGGAGCCTCGGTTGACTCGAGGACCACCACTTTTGGCTCCTTGTTCTTTTGGGCTCCCACGACAAATCCTACAATAATGGCAACAACCAGGAACAACCAAAGAGCTGCTGCCAAGAAATTATTCTGTTGCTGCTTCCTTTGGAGTGCCCGATGCTGGGCCGCTTCTTCCAGATCAACCGGATTGGCATACATCAAATTGGCCGTATCATCGTCTACGGCATTCGCCTGTACCAACCCTTGATTTGTAGCAGAACCAACACGGAGAGAATCTCCTGGTCCACTATTAGCGCCCGGACTAGCACCAAAGAGGGCATAATTTAAGTAGGAGGTCCGTTGCAGATCTTCTCCTGGTGCACCCATGAAGGCACCTGGCTGAGATGGCGGACGCATCTGGTTTCTTCGGAGCAAGATTGGGTGATCTGCCGTATATCCTGGTCCGTTATCTTGATATTCCGTCACAAAAAGAACGTCATCATTTGTGTTGGTGTTGGCATCAGCTGCATTATCAAGTATTTCCATTTTGGTAGCTTCATTGATTTTATCGTCGCTGAGATCTTGAGTTGGTTTTGGGACCGTTGCATAGGTGGCCCCGTCATCTCCTTTTTCCTGGGATTCCTTAGAAAGGCCACCATGGATTTCATCGGCGTAAGGACTGTCACTCTCAAATTTGGCCGCCGGTTTTCGGTCGTCTACCTCTTTGGTAATACTACGAGTAGTAATAGTGTCGGTGGGATCACCCAAGTGGGAATCATTCAAAGTCTCTTCTTTCATGGCACTCGCAATACTACCGTAGTACCTTGGTTTCAATTGGTCTATTAATTATAATGGTATACCGCAGTACCCGTAGATCAGCAGCTACTGTAGTAGCTATCTACTAGCTAGATAGTAACTAACTCGAGGTCAATTGCTGCAGTGGACAAGAACAGAGAAGACTTGGTTTGATATAAGTTTGTAGACTAATAATTATTTTTGCTTGCAGAGAAAATGGCGGCAATCTTTGGCTGTACTAATACTAGATTGGCTGGCTGGCTGCGCAGTGAGGGGGCTGCGCCCTTTTCGCGCAGCTTCAGCTTCACGTCGAGCACGACAGAAAGGCCATTCATGAGCCATTCGTACGCTGTACTAGTTTACGGAGGGTTATGAGCCACCGAAAATTTACATCTTTTCTGAACTTCAGAAAAGCAGTCGACCATGAGCATGCCGAACGGCATTTTGGAGGGAAAGTTTAATAGTAACAGCAAGATCGCAAGTTAGAGATAGGTAGTCTTAATACTATAGATGACTGCACAACAGAAGCATAGACGTTCGTACCTTTAGATAGTGTCGAAATCTGCCATTCTGTTATCTCGTGGGAATTCTCGAATTCCACTGGCAACAACAACAACAGCTGTAAAGCTGTCGGAAACTCAATTTTTTGTTGTGTCGACTTGGCTCAAGACCAGCGCATTGGCTTCAATAGCATGACAGAGACCAATAAGAATATGCAAGCCCTGGTTGAACAGGCATCTGGAATGGTCGCTATAGCACAAGGCAAGCTGAAGATCACACATGCAATGAAAATCGTGGGCTTCAACACACCTGAAAGAAAGAACATGAGATGGTATCAACAAGTGAGAAGGAAATCAATGAGACTTGGATCTGTACCTCTTCAGGTCGTTGCCTCCGTGAAGGGATCTTCCCTTGACAGCCAAACCACTCTGACTGGAAGCACTCCAGCATCTCGCGACTCCACTCTTCCATCTCCACCTGACACTGTTGACAGCCCCATCATTGTTGTGGGAGATGATATGGATGAGGCGCTGGCCTCTGTATCTGCAAAGGAAGACAACACAAAGCCAAAGAGAAAGGATAGACGCACAAGCAAACAAGTGCAGAAGTCGCTTGCGCAGAACGCTCAGCTCACCAAAAGAGATAAAGAAGCAATGAAGATCATCACAACAACCATCGCCAGGCAGAAAAAGAAACCAGTTGACAACAGGAAAAGTATTAGAAAGATAGTTGAGGAGAACAATGAGAGGTTCAACTCGAACGTCGATCCAAAGACAGCAGCAAGATACGTACGCAATGGATTGATAGGAACTTCCCCAATGAAGCGAGGACCAGTCAGTCAGTTTCCCAAATGAATATGGAAGGCTTTATGTGGAGCTGTTGTGACATTCCTGAAGCTGGAACAAGCAGGTGGTGCCAAGCAATCTTCAATCGCTTCTCTTTCCAGGAAGGTAAATGCCTGTGTGAATAAAGGAGGATGGCATAAAACCAGAACCGACTTGACAATGAAGATCAAGAAGGAACATGCGGATCAGTTCCCAACAGCGGGTAAGGCCAATGTTCAAGAACAAAGAAGGGCACTGTGGACAACTCACTACTTCCTCAATACTTGGTTCGACACTTGGAAAGCAAGTGTTATTGAACTTGGTTTTGGCCGGGAGCGAACACCACAAGACACTCAGTTCGACGCAAGTACCGGTGGTGGGTTTCTTGGGGAAGTGTTCTTCTATGAAGGTCAACTGGACCGTATCATCAACTTCGACGAAACAGATGGCTCTCTTGATGACACAACTGGCTATCGAGGTGGACGTCCTCCCATGACCTTCTATGCGCCAGACATTTCAGGAGGAGGAACAAGAGTCAATAAGAGTGGGTATTCCTGCACAATCATTTGTGGGAGTAATGCAGCTGGCGATCCCTTACCTCCACACTTTCAGTTGAAGACACTGGCGACATCAGCTGAAAGAGAAAGGATCAACGTGGATTGGTTCCAGCACACCAAAGATACCATCGGCACCTGGGGCTTTGAAGACAAAACGAAACGTCCATGCACTTTTGGGATGAATGAGAGAGCAGGAATGAATGCCGTGGAATTAGATAAGTACATCAAGAATGCCATACTCACCTTATACCCTGACATTGAAGACACACCCGGCAAGAGAGTTCTTGTGAAAGTGGACAGTGGACCTGGAAGAAGCAACGTGGAGATGTTAGCCGATCTGAGACTGCAAGGATTGTATCTGATTCCAGGAGTGCCGAACACAACAGGAGCGACACAAGAAACAGATCAAAACTATGGCCCCTTCAAGACTGTGTACAAAGACAACCTTAGACGTTTGTCTCAAGCTCGATTTGATATCAACAAGAACCTACAAGTCAGTGACTTACCTTTATTGGTTTTCGGTGGCACAGATCCAGCGGCTGATGTTGTTCTTCGAGATGCATTCTCCAAGGCTTTTTCTGTCAGGATGAATAGACGTTGTTGGAAGAAGGTAGGAGCAGCTCCATTGACACGAAATGCCCTCCACCATCAAAACGTCCGACATGAAGTTCCAGATGAGAGAGCGGCATCTGTGCTTGCTGCTTCTGGAGAAGACGCAGATCCAACTGGCAATATCGCCAAGTTGAAGAATCAGGAATTAATGAACCAGTTCTTTTGCGAGTTCTTGACATCAAGTGGAATGGATGGTTCTCAATTGCGAATTGATGCTCCAATGAGGAAGACTTTCGTGGGTGTCACTGAGGCCCATTCCCAAGCGCGGATAGATGGTATCAAGAATGCGAAGACAACAGGGCAGATGCACTATGTCACAGGCGGCCGACACATGAACACCGATGAATTCTTCAAGGCAACCAAATTGAAAGAGCGTGACGAGGCTGTCAAAGCACTCCAAGACAACAAGAAGGCAAAGACCACAGCCTATGATGCTGAAGTGGCAGCAAAGGCGCTTCTTCAGGAGAGGGGAGTGTTCAATGTAGAGACCGGCAAATCTTTTACTGTTGCTCAAATCAAGATTCTATTGAAATGGCGAGTTTGCCCAAAGCCGGCTTCTCAGCGAAAGCTGGACCTCATGATTGCTTGTTTGGCTGGGGAGGATCCACCTCCGGCGGTTGCATGGACTGATGAAGAAGAGGCCGAGCTGCAGAAGGCACTGGGTGTGGATGTAGACATGAAAGACACTGCTTTGGGTGTGGCGACACTGCAAATGGCGAAGGCAGTGACACACAATATGGCCAATTTGGATCCCGAAACAAGGGCTGCTCTCAAAGCTGCTATCCAGGCATCCGAGTATGGTGAGCCTACCACTACTCCTGAGGTCGCGGGGGCTGTAGATGCTTCCTAAAGGCTTCGAATCAGCGGCATTCTGTCATCGTGGAACTGTTTTCTTTCTTTGTGTTTGTTGTTTCGAGTTGTGTCAGCCTCAGTCACTAGAGAGTGGGATCGAAAAGAGGTGGTTGTGAGCCGTTCCTTAACTCTAAAAATTTACATTCCGTTAACTCAATAAGCAACAACCCCATGTCATGATTAGGGATTTACACCACATTTTCGAAAGTGAATTGTGAGCTGCTAATAGTACGTAGGAATTGTACCGCAAGCTACGAGTAAATCCATTAACTCGCTTTAAACTAGTACTGTACGGTAGGCTTGGTTATCGGTTGTGCTCGAGGATCTTGAGTGGGATCTTGCGAGCCTTCTCATCTCGGATTGGATCTTCAGAGATCGAAGAGCCTCTCCCGCAGCCATGCCAAAGGAGACGAAACAAGCGCTGTACCGTAGCTAGACTAGCTAGCTAGCTAGCTACGACTGTACTACCTGGTAGAGGCTGAACGAAGTCTTTAGTAGTGGACTAGCTAGGCTCCAAGGGAAATACCCGGGCCTCGGCTCGTGGGTCGTCCTCAAGCACATCTGGTCTGAATCCGTGATTAGACATTCATTTTTTTTTAGCTAGGCTCCAAAAGAAGGGCTGCTCTCGGTTTTCGCCGTATGAATGAATATGATATATTCGACGACTGCTTTGGGTTGGGAAGTGGTGTACCAATACCATACCGTACCGTACGTACAAGGCTTGCAGCACATGATACATGAAGAAATGGAAGGGACTGGTGTTTGAATGCATGCTGTCAATAATCAAGGCAGAAGATAGAATAGATGATGAAGTCCTTCACTAACCAGTACCAGCTCGTAGCGGACAAGACTTCAAAAACTAACGTAATCTACATGTACCTGCAATGGCAGCTTTGCAGGTATATCATTCGTGTGTTTGTGTTAAGTCTTTGAATTCAGGTCATCTATGACTGGCACGGTCATCACAAGCAAGATCCCCACCACCCAAGCAAGTCCTCGAACCAAATGAGTTATTCTCACTTTCTCACAAAATCAAGACCAGATCAACTTTTAACTTTCAATAAAAGAGCCACCATGAGACCAACATCTTCTCCTTCTACTCCATCCAACATCAACATCAACACCAACATGACTGTCAGTCCAAGCAGTCCAAGTGGCACTATTATAAGTCCAAGCAATAGTACAAGTACAGGTACTGGCAGTGGTACCAGTTCTACAGGGATGAAGGTATTTCGCTTGGTTCGCAATTTTGTGGTTTCCGTGGCAATTTGGGAATCTATCACTTTTGACACAAAACCCTTCAAGGACCAATGGGCCGAGTTATACACAAATACCAGTACAATCACTACTAGTACAAGCACACTGAATGTAACAAGCACAGAAAATACCACCAAAAAAATCTCGACGTCGATTAACGGAATCCGACAAGAAATGCTTCAAGACAACCTGAAAGCCGACGCCCACGTGTTTCCCACAGTCAAGTCTGCTGACCAGCCAGAAGAAAATACCACAAAGACCAACCAAATCAGTCTCAAAGATTTGCTACCCACCGTCCTTGTGAAGAAGGAAGTTGAGGAATTTTCAGTCACACATCTGGACTCCATAAATACCCTAACTCCCTCCCATCCGGTGCATTGCTACCACCACGCCTTGTGCTGTGGGAAATGGGACGTCAATGCCGATGAATGGTGGACTCATCATCCCCAGTGGTTCAAGACCAAACAAGACAACTTGCAATTGGCTAAAATTGGATTCTGCTTTGCTCCTACTCAAAATCAAGATCATTTGGCATTCTTGCAAGAACTGCACCAACTGCAGTGGGGCATTGATATACAATCACAACAATCCACAACAAGTCTACAACAACTTGCCAGTGTCATTCCAGAATCGTACAATTTCACAGACGTCAACTGCTCCAATCCGGTCACTGCTGTCCCCATTAGTTCCGGATACGGAGCCAGTTTGTCACACATTTACAAGTCGTTCTGGTATGCCTTTACCAGTCAGCAACCATTCCTACTCATCAAACGAGGTCCTTGGATGTATGCTACCAAAGACGTCAACCATACGTGGGCGTACTGTCCAACCCGGGATTTTGGTTGTCTCTACCTTCCACTCTCGCCGTGTTCGAGGGAGAGACCACAGGACATGCACAAACCGCACATGAGCCGTAGACCCAACCAGAAGGATCCATTGCAAGCCATGCAGTGGTTGTGGTTGCGCGATTACATGACACGACCCAATCAGAAATTTCAACATGAATTGGCAAAACTACAAGAGCCATACATTCCACTCCTTCAAAACAGTCACTGCATTGCCTTGCATGTACGTAGAGGAGATTCGGGTGTACCACGACAACCCTTTCGACGATATGCTGCCATTCAAGAATATCTCGATATTCTACCACCAAAAGCCATCACACGGCAAAATAAAAAGAAACCCACCATTTTCTTATTGACCGACGATGCCACCACCATTGACGAACTCTACCAATATCACATCAATGTTACGACGCATCCTCAATTCCACTGGATCTACACCCAAAAATTGCGCAATCGGGCCACCGAATTGGGATTTGAAATGCACATTCCAGTCTCCAGCGATGGACCCCAGGAACTGCTATGGATTACGGCAGAACTCAATTTGGCCGCCCAATACTGCACTGCACTCCTCCATGGGACTTCGGGGTATGCCGATCAACTCTATGATCGCATGCAATTCTATGCCGGCGAGAAAAACAATAACAGCAACAAGAACAATCAGAACAACAATCAGAACAACAATCAGCTCCAACGGTATTATCTCGATACGACTGTACGGAAACATCAAATACAACAATATCGTGGCAAAATCAAAGAGCGAGAAAACGTGCTGTTGCAAAGTATGGCGGATTTCTACGCCAATCGAACAACCACGAGAAGTACGACTGGTCATAATAATGGGACAGCGGGGGCGCGGTAAGAGGTAAACTAGCTAGTGGTGAGAGCCAGAAATCTAAGTGTAGCATGGATCACCAAATAAATCCTAGCAAAAGCAAGCGCGAGCATGATCCAGACGCTCCACCGTTCCGCTGTAGCAACTCTTGAGATGAAATCTAGTCTCGTTTGATCTCTTGGCTCGTTTTGACGTTACGTTCCCGTATCACCTTGCTGGAACCAGTGGCTTGCCCGGAGCCATTGCATGTCTATCCATCTATCTAGCTAGCTACGGTACCATGCCCCGAACACGGAGACCCTGGAGCCGGAGTCGACTCGAGGCCGACTCGAGGCCGACTCGAGCTCGCTGGATCTTGGCTTGCTCACCACGGGAAGGTGAGTAGACGGCTTTTGGATACTAGGTTTTGCCATCCTAGATAGCAGTATTCTCAAGCGTCGTCTTTGGGTCGCAAGATACCGCAGTCAGAGGCAAGAAGCAGTGGTCTCTTTCTCGATTGCGAGATATCCAATGAGGCCGTCAAATCGTTGCACGTCAGCTTGGCATTGGTGAGCGATGCCTTTGACGTGTTTGAGCATTCTGAAGCGTCGTCTTTGGGTCGCAAGTCACAGCGGTCAGAGAAAGACGTTCTCTATCTTTTGCAACGATTGCGAGATATCCAACGAGACCGCCACATCGTTGCAGGTCATCTTGGCATGAGAAAGAAGCCCTCTATCTTTTGCAACAATTGCGAGATATCCAACGAGACCGTCACATCGTTGCAAGTCATCTATCTTGGCATGGCAATCGCGGTTCATTGCATGGCTTCACTACCGCTCCATTCCTCTGTTTGGGTCGCGATCTCGGAGTAGCCCTCATCTCTTCACAGGGCGTTCTCGCGTCCAGAACCTTTTCTGTTGCTTGCGCCTGTGTTTCGTGGGGTATACGAAGAACGAAGCTAGCATTCAGGTTGCCAGACACCAGCTTTCGCTGGTACAGTAGCAATAAAGGAGTCCAGACACCGGTGAGTACTACCGTAGCTAGCGTTTAGTAGACTAATAATAAGTTATGTAACGTATACCTAGCTTGCGGAATCTGCGCACTTATTGTTGTCGCCAAGAGATCTGCCCAACAGCGACTATAGCGGAGCAGTAGCTGGAGTCTACGATCTCTGGCTACGCTTCTGCTGTTGTGTTGGTATAAAATGATTGGATGTTGTCCAGCAGGTAAGACTCTCTTTGGCGGACCTTGCCCCGGTATTTCTGTATCTCTTCAAAGGGCGCCGACGTATCCAAGTAGTAGTTGGTCAAATTGTTGTGGTGGGCGGATCCCGCATAGAATCGCATCCTGTCCAGTAACTGGCCAGCATAACCCGAAATGCCGTGTAGCAGAGTTGTGCAATGCCGTCCTGCTAATTCAAGCTCAGCCGTTATCCAGAGCAACTCTTCTGGTCCATCACTGGCTGCAGGAACATGTCGATCAAACCCCTGCTCGGTACCTCGATTGCGAGTTTTGTTTGTGTATATCCAATGGAACTTGGGATTGGAGACATTGAGATGGTACTGCTGCAGTTCATCAATGGTGGAGGCATCATCTGTCAGTAGGAAAATGGTACGTTTGCTGTTGGCTGTTTGGTTTGGCAGCAGGTCCAAATACTCTTGAATGGCCGCATACCTCCGAAATGGTTTTCTCGGGACACCGGCATCTCCCCTGCGAACATGCAAGGCGATACAGTTGCTGTCTTTTAGCAATGGGACATAGGGCTCTTGTAGCTTGGTCAATGCCTGCCGGAAGCCTTGGTTGGGTCTTGCCATGTAATCTCGCATCCACAGCCATTGCATGGCTTGTAGATGATCACGCTGGTTGGCTCTACGTGTCTGTTTTGGCTGTTCTGCACGATATCGACTGCAGGGTGAAAGAGGCAAGTAGAGGCAGGAAGCATCTTGGTCAGGGCAGTATGCCCAAGAATGGTTGACATTGGCAGTTGCATACATCCAGGGTCCTCGTTTGATGATTTGGAAGGGCAGGTGTTGTGTAAATGCAAACCAAAAAGTGCCGTACAGGAATGACATGCTTGCTCCATACCCAGAACTGATGGGGACTGTGGTAACTAGATTGGAGCAGTTGATTGCATTTGTATTGTTTGTACTGTCAGTAAAGTTGTAAGATTCTGGAATGATGCTGGAGAGCTCCTGCAAGGACACATTGGCGTTTCTTTCTCCAATATCGACCCCCCACTGCTGTAGGTGCAATTGTTGCATTGTTTGCTTATGATCCAAGTTTTGAATGGGAGCAAAGCAGAATCCAACATCTGTGATATCTTCCACATCAGGGACAACTTGCCAGTCCGGGTGATGAATCCACCAAGGATCGGCGTCCACATCCCACCGGCCGCAGCAAAATGACGAATTGTAGCAATACACGGGATTGGAGGGAGTGAGGGTTGCCAAGTACTCCAGATGCATTGCCGAGAACACGGAAATGTGGCTCATGGCACCAACGGCTTGATAGGCTTGATAGGCTTCGTCGACCCATGCTTTCAGGTCCCGCGTCATCAGGCTCATGCCCCGCGCTGCAGAAGCACCGGTCCACTGCTGTTGAAAGGGCTGGGTGTCAAAGGACAGCAGTTCCCATACTGCGACTGTAAGGACCACATTGCGAACCAGCGAGAAGAGTTTCAAGGACGAAGACGATCGATCGGTAGTCATGGTGGAACTCGAGTTGTTGCAAAAACGGCCAGACGATGGCAGTATTCCGAGGATCGAGGTACGGCAGAAGGAAAAAGTCCCACAGGCGCAAGTCTGAAGCCGGAATAATCTCTTGCTATCTAGCTAGCTTGGGTAGGCAATGATTTTGTGGTGTGATGATCAATGCTTTTAATTTTGAGATGATGGAGTTATTGTCGTCCGGAGGTGCGCCGAGAGCCAACGTGCCAAAAGACAAAATTTTGAGTCAGTCACAGTTTCATCGTTATCCCTGGCTCTACTGGAGCTATCGACTCCCGCAATCGACACACCCGCCAAGGCCAAACCTTACGGTACTCAGGCGCCGTGCTGTTCGATAGTGCTCGAGTTATTACTGTCTTGATGTAGCTTGACTCCTGTATCGATGGACAGTTCTCCGCGTGGCGGCGGAGAATTGACTGTGTGCGTCACTCAATCCACCCTGGCTGTATGCACACCACAACTCTCACAGATCTTGATCGAGTCCACGGGCAACAACTTTTGTCAAATAAAAAGGATGAAGGACGCCAACGTTGATACTAGTACTAGTAGTACGAAGAAGGAGAACGCAGGGGAGGAGTCTTCCAGCAGTGGTAATGTGAACGGTGGCCACCCAGAAGACGCAATTGACCCAGCAGTACGGGATGTTCTCGTCAAGAGAGCCGAGGCTGAAGCTGCTCAAGTCCAAGCTGAGCAAGCTGAGCAATTCAGCACTGCTAACACTAATGTACCTGTAAGCCAATGCGAAGAAGCTGCCAATTTGAAGAGGGATGAAGCATCTGTTCTTACCGGTAGCACACATGACATGGACACTGTTGTTTTGGATATTCTTACCAAGCGGCCTGATTTGGAAGCCAAACAGTTGGAAAGGGACCAAGAAATAGGAAACCAAGATCTTCTCAGTCAAGAAACAAGCGAGTCCAGTGAAGAAGAAATCATGAAAATTGTGGCAGAACAATCCAATTTGGCAGTTGCCGAGCGTCTCAATGCCAAACAGGATCTCCATAAAGAAAAACCAAGTACTGCCAACAGCGAGAACCTCATGCAGTTGGCAGTGGAGATCAATGAGGCTGCCAAACTGGAAAAATTTGCCAATGCAGCCAATGCCAACACAGGTGATGATGTTGCATCCAATGCACAAAACGCTAGCGGACCAGGAAATACACTAGAGACTCCCACAGGAGGAGATGCCCTCCTACAACCTGCCTTGCACCGAACAACCCAGATCCGACCACAATCTCAGCCTGGTGCGTTCCTGGGTGCACCAGGAGGACAGATGCAACGAAACCCCAACTTGAACTATGGCCTTGTTGGTGCTAATTCGGGCGCTGATAGTGGTCCAGAAGATTCCCGTGGTACAGCAGCACGGATGTCGACAAATGAAGGGTTGGTACAGGCTAACGCCGTGGAAGACGATGCGGCTGATTTGATGCATGCCAATCCGGTGGATCTCGAAGCCGCCCGACATCGTACACTCCAAATGAAGCAGCAGCAGCAGAAAAATTTCATCGCCACAGTTCTTTGGTTGTTGCTGGTTGCTGCCATTATTGTAGGATTTGTGGTGGGAACCCAAAAGAACAAGGAGCCGGATGTGGTTGTGTCAACTGAGGCTCCAACAGTTTATGGTTCCATGGAACCCTCTGAAGCGCCTTCGTCTGCCCCCACTGGAGTTCTGGACGTGCTAATGGATGGCCTTCCAGACTACACTTTGGCAAACATCAACAATGGTAGTGAGACTCCACAGTGGAACGCATGGCGATGGCTAGCCAATCACCAAAATATCACCTTTCTTCCAGAATGGAGGAAGACACAGTTGTTTGCTCTTGCTACCTTCTTTTATGCCTTTGAAGGAGAAAACTGGTGGCAGCCAATTCAAGACAGATGGATGGTTGATACTGTGGAAGAGTGTGATTGGTTCTCCAATGGATTTGGTCTCTTTAGAGAGGATGGAAAATACTTTGACCGTCCGAACCCAGAATCTCCATGCAATGATCAAGGACAGTACATCGCTCTTGATCTTCAACACCTGCAGCTTCGTGGTCTCTCACCATTTATTCCACCCGAGATTACCCTCTTGACTGCATTGGAAACAGTTCAATTGGTACGCACTGACCTTTCTGAAACGATTTCTCGAACAATTACACCTCTGTTGCCAACAGAACCTTCCGACATTACATTATTGACACATTTGGATTTGTCGCAAAATCGATTCACTGGCAAAATTACCTCTGAGATTGCACTTTTGACTTCATTGTCCTACATTGACCTGGGATTTAATCAGTTTTCAGGCCAAATTCCTTCCGAGATTGCGCTATTGACTTCCTTGTTCAAGCTTCATTTGTACTACAACGAATTGACTGGCCATTTGCCTTCTGAGCTTGGGCTCGTGGCCTCGTTGGGAACTCTTTGGCTTGACGGAAATGAGTTGTCCGGTCCACTGCCGTCTGAGCTTGGGCTCCTGAACTCATTGGAGATTCTTCGGCTTAGGAATCAGTTGAGCGGTCCAGTTCCTTCTGAGCTTGGGCTCCTGACCTCGCTGCGCCTGCTTTCCCTAGTTGACAATCATTTGACGGGTCCAGTTGCTTCTGAGCTTGGGCTCATGAAATCATTGGTAACTATTGACCTTTCTGAGAATCTGCTGTCCGGTACGATTTCTTCAGAGTTCGGTACATTTACTGATTTGACTATGTTATGGTTGCATCAAAATCAGCTCACCGGTGAAATCCCATCCAAGCTTGGTCTTTTGACGGCTATGGCGACGCTGATGTTCAATGAAAATAGCTTGACGGGGACAATTCCTTCTGAGTTTGGGTCATTTACTGCCTTGACTACACTGGAGTTGCATGACAACCAGTTCACTGGCCCTGTTCCCATGGAGCTTTGGCTCCTGACCTCATTGAAAGAGCTTGACCTGTCCACCAATCAAATATCTGGCCAGATCCCAACAGAAGTTGGTATGATGACATCACTGACATCCCTAGCTCTTCACAACAATAGCCTGACAGGAACACTGCCCAGTCAACTGAATGCATCTATGGGATTGAGACTATATGGGAATCAGTTCTCAGGAATTGTGCCAGAGCATCTTTGTTCTTTTCTATGGTGTGATTGTTCCCAAAATGAAACTCCTCCTGTTTCCACCTGTGCCGACCTCAACGAAGCTCCACCGGATTCATGGCCTGGACGGTTTCCAACCACAGGTGCTGATGTCATGCTAAACATCCAAACTGATGCTTATCCAGAAGAAACATCATGGGTTTGGCAGACGGAAACCAATGTGACTGGGATTTGGGACACATTGGAATCAGGTGGTCCACTGGCGGTTAAACAACATCTTCACTCCTCTCTCTTCCCGTTCAATGCTGACTCAGCCTACAGATTGATTGTATCTGACCGTTGGGGTGACGGCGTCAACTTCCCTGGTTGGATCGCTCTGACAGCTGCCAGCCAAACAGTTATGTATTCTTTGGTGGACGGTGAAGCCTTTTCTGAAATCACCATTGACATTTTGGTCGGAGCAGATGGATCTTTTGACGTGATCAATTCTACAGCTCTGTAATGCATTGTTGCATATTTCTGTAGGTAAAAGAACTAACTATGTACTGTTTCATTTTGCTGAAGTCTTCTTTAGATAGCTAGACAATGGCATCAAAGGGTAGAATTCAAAAGAGGTCAGCTGACGGTGATCCTCAATGCGGAATTCTTCAGAGGGATCACACAGACTATAGTTGTGATCACACTGCATATGTTCTGACTAGCACTACGATTTTCTTCAATAGTGCCAGTGGGATTGGAAGGGCCAGCTGCTTTGACGGGCAAGTACCGTAGGAACCTACTGTTTCTGGCATACATGCATGCTTTACCTCGGCAGTCTTGCTGCCAGAGCCCTCAACCCCTTTAATTACGTCTCCTCGAGACGATGCCCCTTTTGGTTACCCCCTCAGTTGCACTCCAAAATCGATTCGCCCGCGTTTACTGTGTAAATTAGAGTAGCCTCACTTCAGTTGCAGAATCAACGGTCATGTGTATCATTAAGTAACAAGTTCCCTTTCGAAAGATTTAGATCGATTCGTGGATTAAAAAGAACCTTTGTTGTTACTAAGGTTAAAGTTAAACAGTACCGTTACTCGTACTGGCTCAATCTATCCTCGCACCTCTGCATGCTGCCGATCTGCTCCGTCGCAAGTCCATTATTGAAGGCGCAGCACTGACTTCTCTCCCTCATTTAATTTGTATGGCAAACAGGAGAGAAATCCAAGCTTGGCCAACAACAGTGTTTTCAATGGATCGAACGATCGAACGATCGAACGATCGAACGATCGATCGAACGAACGAACGAACGAACGAACGAACGACGGGTTCGGTACGAGGTAAGCCTATTATCAAAGAGTGTTATTGAAGGTATAGATTCGAAACCATCCCTCATTCATTGCTATGGACCATGTGCAGGCAATCAAATCTCGGCCGTCAACAGGTGAGTTGTTCTTTAATTATTCGAGTCGACCGATCGCACCTCTGCTATCAAGCCTCACTCAAGCCGTCCTTCTCCGGTGCAGATTCGAAAGCCATTCCGCATTGAATCTTATGGACCATGGGATGGCAGTCAGTTCTCGGCCCATAACGGCCAAGTTGCTGCAATTTGAAAAGCAAGAGTAAGTCTCCGGTCGTCTGCAGTTGAGCACAGAAAACAAAACTCATATCTATTTGTTGTTTTCTCTGCTGTACTGCTGACGGCCGAGGAAATACCAGTGCCGACGATCAATCGCTCGGGATAACAAGAGGAAGAGGCTGCTATCGATCGATTGCTACTATGATATGCAGGAGGCTCCGTTAACTCCAGCCCTACCAACAGCATGATCGGAGATCGTCGTCGAGTCATTGTAAAGGGAACATGAGCGAGCCAACAATACACAAGAGAGTGGATCCTACTACTGGGTTCATCCCTCCAGTGTTATTTCCTAGTGTTTTGGTGGTGATTCATGTGTCGGTACCCACTTTCCTGTATGCACAAGTCCTCGGGCGAACGACTTGCTTCTTTTGTACGATACGAGGTACTTGTACTGCATTGTAGCGGGCAAAGCCGAACCTGAGTGTGCTCGGTACTGTTGCCACTGTCGCCGATGTAACTATACGGCAGCCGGCTACAATGGCTGGATTCATAATGTTCGGTTGTGCATGTATTCGTCATAAGGATCCAATACGAGGTACTTGTACTGGAGTGTAGCGAGCAAAGCCGAACCTGAGTGTGTTCGGTACTGTTGCTACTGTCGCTGATGTAATACTACAGCCGGCTACAATGGCTGGATTGACAATATTCGGTTGTGCATGTATTCGTCATAAGGATCCAATGCGAGGTAACTGAGTGTAGGGAGCTGGAACTAAGGAATCAAGAGACGAACGCTGAAAAAAACCCGAATTGTTTTTCCTGCTACGGTGGTCCCTGCAGGTATAAGGGTACGATAGGGTTAGAATACAAATAAGTCAGCAAAAACTAAATAAGTATCCTAGAATGGTGCTTTTAAACCAGCTAAAGCTATTTACATGTATCCTAGTAGGGGGGTCTGCTTCTATCAGGAAAAACTCTAAAGCTAGCAAAAGCTATCTAACTAGTATTCTGGCTAGCTAGGGGAATCTGCTTCTAGCTTGCTATGGGAATCTGCTTCTAGCTAGGGGGGATCTGCTTCTAGCTAGGTAAGCGCAAGTTAAGCACTAGAGGTATCTGCTTCTAGCTAGCTAGATAGTTGCTAGTAGCTAATAGGGGTACAGTATCTGCTTCTACACTGAAACCTTTCTGCGGAGGTTACACAGCTCCGCTGGCTTATTTGTGTTTCTGAGCTGAGAACTACCACTAACCCCAAGGCGAATGCAAACCTGATGGCACTTTTAAAATTCTCGATCCCTCAAAGATCTAAAGATCCAAAAAGACATCACCCTGCAGCAGCCCTGGATGTTCAGAAACCGTATCTAGGTATATCTATCTCTATCTATCTGGCTTGTTTTGCCCTGCTCGCTTCCTCATTGCTCTCACACCAGCCACCCACCACCGCAGCCACTGCATTTGCCTAGCCTCGCCCCCCTCGCTCCTTAACGTATCTATTTAGTATTTATTTATCATCAACTTTCTTGCTGCTCAGGCTGAACAAGTTGAACAAGCCCATACCATATACCTGATATATAGGTATACCTTAGAGTTTACCATTTACCATGGAACCACTGAACGTTGACAAGTACTACGATGAGGAAGACCATGCTGGTGGTGATGGTGATGACAGGCCAGCAATGGATGTGGATGTGGATGTACAGGATGTGATCCGAGAAGAACCCTTGATTGTCCGTGTCTTTGGCCTTCCTATCCAGAAGGTTGCTTCCATTGCAGGAATTCTCTTCTTGGTTGTCATTCTGGCCCTGGTGCTGCCTTCCCACAGTACCACATCTGAAACAACTGTGGAACTGTTTGGAACCTCTTGGGATGTGGCTACCACCACAAGCTTGAATGAGGATCTCTTGATCATAACAACCACCACCGGAACCATTCCCACCCAAATTGGAGTTCTGTCGGCGTTGACCCAACTCAGCTTGACCGGCACCAAATTTTCCGGTAGCATTCCCACGGAAATCAGATTATTGACAAAATTGACGCGGCTGGAATTGACGGGCAATCATTTGCTATCCGGCAGCATTCCCACTGAACTTGGATTCCTGGCTAACAACAATTTGAATGTTTTGATCTTGCAAGACAATGGGCGACTCAATGGAACCATCCCTACCGAAATTGGGTTGATCACATCATTGTTGGAACTGACCTTGACTGACAACCACGTCATGACCGGAAACACTCCCAGCGAAATTGGATTACTGACAAAACTGACTGTCTTGGACTTGCACAAGAACCAGATATCCGGCAGCATTTTGTCGGAGATTGGATTGCTCTCCACCAATTTGCAGCACCTGGACTTGTCCGACAACAAATTGTCGGGCAGCATTCCCACAAGCATCCAATTCCTCACGGCATTGACGTTCTTCAAACTGTCGCTCAAGTATTACAACACACATTTATCCGGAAGCATTCCCACGGAAATTGGTTTGATGACCCAATTACAAGTATTGGATTTGTACTTCAACAAATTGTCCGGCCATGTCCCAACTGAAATTGGCTTGTTGACAAGGTTGCAAAAATTGGACCTGCACAAGAACCAATTATCCAACAGAATCCCATCCGAGCTGCTGTTTCTTACCGCTTTGGAACACTTTGCATTGGACAAGAACAAAATCTCGGGAAGTATTCCTACCAACATTGGAGACCTCACTGCTTTGAAGTATCTCGGCTTGGAACGAAATCAGCTCTCCAGTAGCATTCCTTCTGAAATTGGGTTGTTGACACGATTGTCAAATTTATGGCTGCCCGACAACAAGCTATCCGGTAGCCTTCCCTCGGAGATTGGGTTGCTTACAGCGTTGACGTACCTGGGCTTGTCAGACAATCAGCTCTCGGATCGTATTCCATCGGAATTGGGATTGATGACCCGATTGACTTCTCTGTTCTTGTCCAGCAACCAGTTGTTGGGCAGTGTGCCGGATGAAATATGTCCCAAGTCCAATGATTTCTACCGATTTGTTGTGGATTGTGATCCGGAACCGTTTCCGGTGGCATGTCCTTGCCGCGAGTGCCATTGTGGGAAGAACTGAGGATACATACACTGGAGTGTGCAATACACAATATTTATTTGTTCAACTGCTGCTTCAGCTACATGATGGTGATCGATTGATCATTCGACAATTAGCTCACCGCCGCGTCGTTTGGCATCTACCTCTTGCTCGAGAACGTGCACGAAACGCGTATTTTGGCTGTTGTTTGGCACAGTGTAGCGTCGATACGAGGGAGCTGCGCATGCAGCTTTCGTTTTGCATCTGGCGGTTGGCCTTCGAACCAGGGTCAGTAATCACATCGGAACGCACTGGCATCCACCTAATAGCCAGCATGGCGTTTCTGAAAACCGGCCAAGCGATCTCTCATGCAGTGGGGTAACAATAGGTTAACATTATGAACAATCCAGACTGAGAGGAGCTGAAAGGAGCACTGTGAGGGAAATTAAGCGAGAGTACGACCCCCATTTGATGGAAGGCGGGGGAAGCTTGGAATGCGGGCTTTTCAATTGATGTCCTTGCGTTCTCGTATGGTTCAGGAACATACATTGGATTCGTGCGCCGCGGTTGCCCGTTTCCCCAAATATTGTGCCTTCGTGTAGAGCTGGCCGCGGTACGGTAGCTCGTACCCCAGTACGATGATCCCGTTGGCAGGTTTTCTTTCGTATCTTGCTCTAGGGTGTGTTCTGCGATACCAGTAGCAACGACTGTGGATTTTGTCCAGGCCTTCGGCGAAGAAGTCTGTAGTTCTACAGCAGCACTCTAGGAATCGATTCTTTGCTCGAAGCTTTGCGTACTAAAACTGCACGGAACGGGCTCGAGACAAGCCACGATCTGATGCGTAGAGCATTCTGAGTCGAAGGACGAACACGGCTACGCAGCTACTACTGCGGACAAATAATAAATGCTCAGTTCGAGGCTGTCCACTCCTAAAAATCAATGATTCCATCAAAGGTTGCCACTCTCCGAGTACGTTCAGGTCTGAGTGGTGGTTGATTGCATGGTGGTGCACGTATGAAATCAGGCTCGAGCAGGGGCTATCAGCAGCGAAACGGTAAAGTACTAGTAGAATAAAACAATGAAGACATTGGGTGCATCTCAAACACTGGATCGTCCAGCTCCCATGCATCCACAGAAGAAATCTCTTGTTTTGGCGCTACCGGCAGCTACCGGTCAGCTAGAGCTATCTGGGATCTGATCGACGAATTAATCGATCTCGAGATATCCATCAAAGTGTGACTTTAGCCTTTAAGCTGACAGAGCTGTCATTCGAATTTTCGATGACTCGACTCGCGTCACTCTGGCATCGCAGTGACCATTGCGAAGACGTCACTTGTCGAAGCCACAAGGATGTCGCAGAAGCAAAGACACAATGAAGGAAGACAAGGTTGTTAATAGAGAAAATTAATATGAATATGAATAAGGAGGAGGAATCTAATATGAATATGAATAAGGAGGAGGAATCTCCTGGCAGCGGTGATGGGAAAGATCCTGGAAGTGCTACTGACGAACTCGACCCAGCGCTACGGGACGCCCTGATCAAGAGAGCCGAGGCTGAAGCTGCTCAAGTCCAAGCCACCGATCTCTATGGCACTGCAACTGCCACTGCCACTGCCACTGCCACTGAGGAGAAGAAACATGTAGTCGTTGCTGATGACACTGCTGTAAGCAACGCAAGGACAGGCCATCAAAATCTTCGGAAAGCCACTCCAGTGAGCAGCCATATTCCAACTGAGGATAACGAAGATAACATCTTGAAGCTTGTGGCAGATAGGGCAAGTACGGCCGTGGCAGAGCAAATGGAACAAGATGACCTCACTGCTGGCAAAGAAAAGGGCCTCAAGGTACAAAGCAACCAGAACCCAGAGGATGCAGAATCTCTACCAGCTTATTCAGGACATGAGAACCCCTCAGAAACCATTGAGCCAACAGGGCCACATCAAACAACCTGGCAGAGTTCAAATCCAAATCGGCCAGGAGCATACATGGGTGCACCAGGAGAAGCACTTCAGAGAGCCAATACCCTAAGGTTCTCCCTTGTGGGTGCCAGTAATGCTGCTCAGGATGAACTGATTGGTCAGATTAGTAATCCCGAGGATTCCTTTGCACAGACGGAACCACATGATGGGGCGCAGCCCAGCGTCGCCACCGCAAACAACAACAGCATGGCATCAACAAATGACCCGCACTTGGCAGTGGCAAATCTGGTGGACGAAGATTCAGATAATGAACAAATGCGGCCATCCGCAGATCCTGTGGATCTACAAGCAGTTCAACAACGAGAGCAAAACAAGAAGAGACAGAGGCATTGTTTTGTTCTGTTTCTTGTCATGATTTTGATGGTGGCAGCCATTACTATTGGCACCGTGATTGGAACCCAGAAGCAAAGTGAGCCAGACATTGTTATGGCAACACCAACGCCATCTTCCGCTCCCACTGGGGTGCTAGACATACTGTTGGATAGACTACCAGACTACACTTTGGCAAGCATCAACAATGGCAGTGAAACACCTCAATGGAAAGCATGGTGGTGGCTGACCAATCATCAAAATGTCACATTTCTCCCAGAATGGAGAAAGATGCAGCTCTTTGCTCTCGCTACTTTTTTCTATGCCTTCGAGGGAGAAAATTGGAATCCTCTCATTAAGGAACGATGGATGGATGACACAGTCGAAGAGTGTGACTGGTTCTCCAGTGGGTTTGGATACTTCCATGAGGGAAAATACTATGAGCTTCAAGATCTCTTTGGTTCATTACTCCCAGTTAAGCTGCCCTGCAACAGCCAAGGACAGTTCACATCGCTGGAGCTGCAAGACCTGCAGCTCTCTGGTCTTCACCCATCTTTGCCACCTGAGCTAACTGTCATGACTACATTGGCTAGTATTAGATTGAATCTCAACAACATTTCTGTTCCATTTCAGTTTCTGTTACCAGCAAAAATTTTCAATGGCCCTTATTCTTTGACATCCTTGGTGTTGGCTATGAATCTGTTGTCGGGGCAAATTCCTACTGAGTTTGGACTCCTGACCTCATTGGAAGTGCTGAAGCTCAGTCACAATCAGTTAACTGGGGAAATTCCTTCTGACCTTGGGCTCCTGACCTCATTGGACAGTCTCGAGCTAGATGGCAACCAGTTGACTAATACAGTTCCTTCCGACTTTGGGCTCCTGACCACATTGAAGTACCTTAGCCTTGAAGAGAATGAGTTGAGCGATCAAGTGCCTTCCGAGCTTGGGCTCATGGAATCATTATTAATGATCGACCTTCACGATAATCAGCTTACTGGTCCACTGCCTTCTGATCTTGGGCTCCTGACAACAAGGTTGCATACGCTCCACCTCCATGAAAACAAATTCTCTGGTGTGGTTCCCTCCCAGCTCTTGCTTCTGACCTCATTGGAAGAGCTTCACCTTTATAACAATCAGTTATCCGGTACAATCCCAACGGAAATTGGAATGCTGACATCACTGATGTCCCTGGGTCTTCAGAACAACAGCCTGACGGGGACACTGCCCAGCCAACTGAATGTGACCATGGGATTGAGCCTATATGGGAATCAGTTCTCAGGGACTGTTCCAAGTCATCTTTGTTCTTTTCTATTTTGTGATTGTTCCCAAAATGAAGCTCCTCCTGTTTCCACCTGTGCTGGCCTCACAGAAGCTCCACCTGATTGGCCTGGACGATTTCCAACCACAAATGCTGCTGTTGTGCTTAATCTCCACACTGATCATGTGCCATGGAAAACAAAATGGGTTTGGCAGGAGGACGCCAAGGTGACTCGTATTTGGACTACAGTGGAATCAGGTGGTCCACTGGCAATTCCAGAGCATGTTTACTCATCTCCCTTCCAAGTCAATGCTGACACAGCCTACAGATTGATTGTATATGACCTGGTTGCCGAAGGTTTCAATCTCCCTGGATGGATAACTCTGATGGCAGAAAACAAAATGGTATTGTATTCTTTGGTAGCTGGGGAGGCATTTGCTGAAATCACCATTTATGTTAAAGTTGGAGCAGATGGATCTTTTGGTATTACCAATTATACTTCAAGTTACACTTCACATTTATAAATGACTTTGAATTTCTATTTGACAAGAGAGCCACCCAAAGTTTCTAGTTAGTGCTCCCTTACAGCTACTGCTGGTAAATGAATGCTGTCCACTCATTCTTATGATGATTTTCATCAAAGGCTGGCACTCTCCGTTGCCCACTAGTTAGGACTAGCTACAAGTGATAGCAGTCCTCCCACATTTCTTCAGGTGTGGTAGCGATTCCTCTCGGGCGCCTGGCTCCTACTTTCTGCAGTCTCATCTGTCCTGGTCTGGAGCTAGCTGGCTGGTTGGTTGTTGGCTGTCTCTCAGTCATGCACGACTGTGCATGACTGAGGGATGAGCCCACCAACGCTTGAACTGACCAGAGCCCCAAGAGAGAGCAGCGATACAAGGGGGTTGGTCAGCCGCATGAAGCTCGTTCATTGGACATTTCGTTTCTGGCGGTTGTCTCTGGAACGTACTGCAAAAGCTTCTCGCTATCTATGAGTATGCTTTTGTTCTCACAACCAAGCCCACGCGAAGAACTCGTATGTAGTGGTTTTTCAACTAAAAGGGTTACGAAGAATCCAGACCCAAGTAGAATTGAAAGGGGGCCAGGTGCATCGGGGAACAAAAGAATACGATGAGCGACCCCATGGAATGCTGGGGAAGCTTAATTTGAATGCGAGCTTTGCTTTCACAACTTACGTCCCCGATCCCCGAGAATAAAACACGCACCTGTCAACAGCAAGTGCATATCCAATACGAATGGTGATAGTTGGTGACTGTTGTGGTTAACTTACTTGATGGACACCACAACATACGCATGCATGCATGCATGCACTCGGGGTCCACATGCATGCTTTCGTTGTACGTGCAGGTTTTTGGTTATACGCTGCAGGTTCTTGGTTAGGTTCCATTTCGGTACGGTCCGATAGGTTCCAGATTTTCGGTCGTTTGTGCTGTGGATTAGCCAAAATCAGACCGATTACGTTAAAGTTGCGCTATGTTACGTTCCGATACCTCATGTTACGTTACAGGCGGTCAGGTTTTGCGCTTTCCCCAGCAAAAAGAACATGATGCAATACGTAATGCTACCGTACCAGTGTATCTATTTAGGATTTGTTTTCCCATTGTGTATCGAAATATCTATTATACAGTGGTAATCTCTGGTTTCGCTCCTTTACTATAGGTGAAGTTGTGTGCATATGCTGACGTAGCTTACCCTCTATACTCGGGGCTGCTCAGCTGCATAGCTCGTTTCATCGAACGTTTCGTTTCTAGTTGTGTTTCTGTCGGTTATCTTTCGAACGAGGACAGTTGACCACAAAGGAACGTACCGGTAGTGCATGCCAAAGCTAGCTCTAGCCACCGGTAGAGGCCGAATACAAATTTCTCACAAACTATTATGGTATTAACAGTGCGCGCGAAAGTTTTTTGCTTGTGTAAAACTGGAACGGACTCGAGACGAGCTGGAACGGACTCGAGACGAACCACAACCGGATGAGCAGAGTACGAGTACTCGGCTGCCAGTGGGCTCTCTTGCAGCCACCGCGTTGCTACAGTACTGAATGCCGATTGATGCCCAGTGATTCGGGCGCACGTTCCACGAGCAAAAGCTGTTGGGCAGGAATCAAGATATCTATGGACACAGCCATTTCCAGACAGGCATGCCGCACGAATGTAATGCATCATTATGTTTAATAAAAGAGGGCACACATTAGCTAACTTCCGGTATGCGAGCGGCATCTTCCAACTCAAGATACGCTCGAACGAGCTTTTGAGATAGGATTCTGCCGTAGTATACCGTATTATCCCAGCACCGACTCGAAGCATTGAATCTTCACGGGAAGACTGCATGAACCATCCAACGAAACTCACCCGTTAACCTCATCTATTATAATACCATTACAGAGATCTGAAAGGGAAGCATGCATGCGAGTCGGAGAAGATCACTAGAACGGTGGATTTCGAACCGCGGAATCCCTGTGCATGCTAGGCCTGCATCCAGTCCCACTTCATTAGTGACTCAACCAGTCACAGACCCTTCTCAGCCATTCTTTTCTCGATCCTTTGCCGCAACAACCAAGTGAAGGTTGTGACAGACAAAGAGCCGAGCAAAGCGGGAGACAAGACGCCACAGCTACATCTGAACCATTCCTGAACAGCAAGACAACAACAACAGCAGAAATCGGATCAGCAGCAGCAGATTTGAGCAAGAACAGTTGTCCTCGTGACCGGCGAGCGGCCACCACAGTGACCCTCCCTGTACTTGCAAACCGAGGCCCAAGGAACACCCACCGGTAATTTCTGTCTGTTGCCCACACATAGAACCAAGAGAAAACAAAGAAGACAGGGAGTTCAGAGACTCAATACAAGCCAAAACAAAATTATTTGGGTTGCTCGGTACTTAAGCCTACACAAAGTGCGTTTGGACCCACACTTGCCCCAGCCATGTGGAGACTTCGCCAAGCCAAAGCAGCCCAAAGGGCGACAAGAAGAGCAGAAGGCCCAAGAACCTGAAGAACTCAAAAACCTCAAGTCTGCTATCCAAAACATGGCAACCGTCACCCAAGAGAATATCGACCACACAACTCGAAGCTTGGTACGATTTTCATGAAGGAGGGCCAACATGGAAGCCAGCAGAGGCTGCGGCCGAACTCAATGAAATCCTCCGAAAGCATGGCGACCAAGACAAAAATGGACCGATGGTCCTCCTAGTCAACACAGGCAATGGAAACTTTGAACTCCTCACCTGCATCCTTACAGCACCGACCAGAGACGACATACCAAATGCGCCCCGAAATTCGGCCCACCTAGGGCCGGGCAAATTCATCGGAGTACTGGTCGATCGCACTGAACATCAAGACACCTGCCTAGTTACCATTGTAGATCCCAAAATGTTTGGCAACGCATACAGAGAAATTGCTCAATGAAGACATTACCGCCACCGACATGACTAAGACAAGGTTTCGGTTTAAAACCCACGACGAGCCACTGACAGAGTTCTACCCATGTCTGCCAATCTTCGGCAAAGAGGTATGCGACATTCTGTACGAAGGCCTCTACCCCGCCAATAGGACCGATAGCTCCTCGGTAGCAACAAAATGGTGCTCTCGAACCATTGCCCATGCATCAACTCAAATCCTGGGTGGACTCCATCGGCCCTGACAGTGTACGCGATCAGGCCAAACTGTCTCTTCTAGGCCTCTCCACTCAAGTGAATCAGGCCAAGGATGCTGCAACAATAATGTTCAACCAGACATCCTGTAATGCTGAAACCATGACCGAGACATTGCAAGCATACATTACACCAATCGTGGAATCCCTCTTGCACCCCAAACCAAACCAGGAAGAAGAACGTTCTCAAAATGGCACCATCGCAAATGGACCCCAAACAGGAGTGACCCCAGCGAAACTGGTGGCCCTCACTCCGAACCCCTCACAAACGGGGATCCCTCGAACGGGAATGGCACCATCGCAAATGGAGCCGGCACCATCGCAAATGGAGCCCAAATCGGAGCTGGCACCATCGCAAATGGAGCCCAAAACGGCGCTGGCACATCTGCAAATGCTGCTCAAATCGGCGCTGGCACCATCGCAAATGGCAGCCCACCCCAACTCTCAGA